GGGAAAGAGGAGGCATGAGGTCTTAGCTTTGGTTTTAAACTGTGGGTCACAGCTCTGCCATCCTCTTAGGTCTAGGTCTGCTTCCATTTCCTGGATGAAACCATCTTTCCTACCTTTGGCATTATACCTTCTGGCTACTCATTCTTAAGCTCCTTCACTAGATACCTTTTTCTGTTTTATTCTCTAAATACTAGTGCTCCATAAGGCTCAGGTGTCTTCATGAGGACTTAGGCTCCACCTTCTTGCCCAGATTGATAGGTCTCAAGTCTACACCTCTAGCTTGAGGTCCATAGATTTTAAACTGCTTATGCCCATCCCTGTGAAATTCCTGCTCTTAGCCCAAACCATCATGTCCCAAAGTGAGCTCATCATTTTATTCTCCCGATGCTCAAGCGCTGTCCATGGTACTGACGTTCCATGGCCTTGGAAAGCGAAACTTCAGTCATCATTCACCATTTCCCTCCCTTCATCCTCCGTATCCATCCAGCGAATCCCCAAATCCTCTTCCTATGACCATATCCTAAATCCAGGCCCACAATGTATTGTTTTGTTCACATTTCTCTTAGTTCTAGTCTCTGGCCATTTCCAAGACAAATCATCCTGTGTGCTCCTACCAGACAAAATTTCCCATACCAATGGAATCATTTATATCACTCCTTTGGCTCAGACCAGGGTCTTTAAATAGTCATGGACTCTATCCAGTGGGGTATAGGTTTGGGCGGTAAGCCAGCATTTCTCACATGAAGATATTCTCCCTTCCCAAAACAGAATATTAAGTTATATCCAGGGAAAAACTATTTGCCAAATGCTGAATCAGTTCTACCCTGGATCTGGATTTAAGCAAGAAGAGAGAATCCAGGAAGGGAGATAAAGGATAGATTTGTTCAGCTTGTCCTCCAGAGGCAAGAAGAAAACCAGTGTCACTGTTCTTTGTTGTTATTGTTATTTTTTGGTTTGTTTTTAAACAATATGGCAGCATCAAATAAACAGTTGCAAGAAATGAGAGAACCCAAGTTAAATGGTGGCAGTTAGAAATACTTCTAATCTTCCTTTTCAGAATCTAGGTGTCGCCAGGAAAGGGAGATGATTCAGGTTCATTTAATAATCCCTGGTAACCAGCTATGGCCCAGGCTCTGTGCTAAACACTTTCTTATTTATTTATTTATTTATTTATTTAATCTTATTTTTTGACTGCGTTGGGTCTTCATTGCTGCGCGTGGGCTTTCTCTAGTTGCAGAGTGGGAGCTACTCTTTGTTGCAGTGTGTGGGCTTCTCATTGTGGTGGCTTCTCTTGTTGCAGAGCACGGGCTCTAGGCACGTGGGCTTCAGTCGTTGTTGCACATGGGCTCAGTAGTTGTGGCTCACGGGCTCTAGAGCACAGGCTCAGTAGTTGTGGTGCACAGGCTTAGTTGCTCCGCGGCATGTGGGATCTTCCTGGACCAGGGCTCGAACCCGTGTCCTCTACATTGGCAGGCGGATTCTTTACCACTGCGCCACCAGGGAAGTCCCTCACATACATTTTTTAAACTAGTCTTTGCAATGATTTTCATTTGAATTTATATTATTGACCTACCGATTTCCAGACACTGCAAAAAACTCCGTAAATATCTTATTTGAAGTAATTCTTATAATTTTGTTTACAGATGAGTTTACAAACAAGATAAATGTCTTGAACTTAGATATTTTGTTTACAAGCGCAGGGCTTTTCCTTCTGTTTGAACCTTACTTCAAATATTTTGCTAACATTTGATGTTTTTCCATATACTGGCATTAAGGAAAAAAATTTAAGGTATAGAGGTGAAAAATTAAGCCATCTTAAAATAACCATTGTGGCATTTTGTTATATTTTCTTTTGTTTCCCTCCCCCTATACATTACTATGTGTATGTTTACATACACACACACACTCACACTTAATATTGCAATGAATAACCATTTGCATTTTTCACTTTGCACAAGTGAGAATCAGATTACAGTGCTTAAAATGGAGAAAAATATGGTAATTTGATCCTCACATATGTACGAAATAACAAATGCATTAGGTTATTCATTGTAGCATTTTTATAGTAGTAGAAGAAACAACCTAAATGTTTATACCTATATGTACATACACACTCACAGATAAAGGTGTAGTTTCCACATATGTAAATAAGCATATACTGCTTTTAATCTGTTTCCTGTATACTTAATGGACAACATGTCTTGAATATATTTTCATGTTTTGAAATAGCCTTTTATATGATTTCACAATAGTCTTTTCTATAGAATAGTCCATTGTGTGTGTGTGTGTGTGTGTGTGTGTGTGTGTGTGTGTGTGTGTGTATATATATACATTCCCCTATTAACCTATTAATGTATATTTGGATTGTTTAAAAGTTCAAGAAATGTACACCAAACAACCTTGAACACAGCTCTTTGTCCATGTCTTATTTCTTTAAGCAAATAACTGAAAGCAGCATTTCTTGGTGAGCACACTGCCAATTGCCTGATGTGATGAGGTGGGTTAATGGATTTCCTCATATTGAACTATTCATCTATTCGTAGGAAATACCTTACTTGATTTTTATGTCTTATTCTTTCATTACAACACTGGATCCCATCTGCATATATCTCATTTAATTCCTATGTATTCATAAAGAAAATTTGCATTTTTTGGTGCTAACATGGCAGGTTTTTGAATCAAGATAATGATTTTGTAAAATCAAGTGCATAGTGTTCATCCTTCTGTATGCCTTGAAGCTATTAATAGAGCATATGAAAGATCTGTTCTTTGAAAGTTTGAAGGAAGGCAATAATAAAAATGCCTGGTATCTTTTGGGGAGTCCTTCGGTTTGCAGGGTGGTAGGGGGTTGGCTTGTTATTTCACTGACTGTACAACAACTTTGGGAGACAGATGCTGTTAGCATCACCAAGTTAGCATTAAGGAAACTGAGATTTGGAGAGGTTGAATAATTTGCCCAACAGGTGAAGCTGGGATGCAAATCCAGGCAGGCTGGCACTAGAGCCCACATCCTTATGTATCCTGCCTGTCATACTTGGCAACATTCTCCTTGCATATTGATTCATCCACATTTTCTAATTCTACCTTCAGTTTGTAATTTCTATTTTTCTTAAATCCATTAAACATTTGAAACTTTATTAGCTTAAAACTGTAACATACCCTCAAAAAACCTCTATATAGGAAATTATATTCCTTTTCTCAGTCTTGTGTTAGTATTTTCTGGATTAGCAATTTATTCCCATTATTCTTCTTTTTCAAACAACTGCCTCTTTACACATCAGGGTTTTTTTCCTCTTCAAATCATGATTTTATGCTTTCAGATTTGTTAATTCCTGCCTCCTAATTTTCTTTGGTTTGGTTTGTTATTCTTTTCTGATTTATTTTTACTCTTTTCTGTCAACAATATCGGGTCTTTAGCTGTGAATTTGTCTCTGGCACAATCCCATGAGCATCAATATGCAATGCTCTTATTGCTGTTAAGTCCTAAATGATCTGTAATTACAGCCTTAATTTTCTCTCTGACCCAAGACTTCTGCAGAAGAGTGTTGTTAACTTTCAAAGTGTTTGGGTTTGTCGGTTTGAACTTTTGCCATTTTATTGTATTGCAGTCAGAAAACAGGGCCTGTACAATTTCTGCTTTGAGGAATTTATTGAGGTTTCCTTTTGGGGCCAATATGTGATCAATTTTTTGTGAATGTTTCATGAGTTATTAGAGAAAAGGTATTATTTTCTTCTCATAGAGTATAAGTTGACATATATCTATTAAATAAGATACATGAAATATATTATTCAGTTCCTCTCTATCCTAACTCATTCTTTGCCTACTTAATCTGTCAAAGACTGAGGGAGGTGTCTCCAGCTCTCCCACTACTGTTGGGTTCCTGTCATTTTCTCTTTGTATTAGTTATAGAATTGGTTTTTACGTATTTCATAGTTACATTGTTCAGCACAAAAAAAGCTCATGGTGCTTATGTATTCTTTGTGGCTTGTACCCTTTTTCAACATTAAATAACACTTTCTGTCCTATTTCAGGCCTTTTTTTTTTTTGCCTTTAAGTCGGCTTGATCTGATATTTATATTGCCAGCCCAGCTTTCTTTTTGTTT